CCTCTCTTTCGTTAAAAATTAGTCACTTTCTCGGGGTGACCTTATAATTATGAAACGGTGCAAAAACCGATAAACTGTCCTAAAAAGTTCCGAAAAATGCAGCTGCGGCTAGGAAACGGATACATAGGTTATTCGTGCTGGGGAATCCGTTCATGTTGCTAGAAAAAATCCTTAATGATTGCTTTTCTTGAAAGTGCAGAATTTGAGGGTGACCTTATAATTATGAAATGCACTGTAGTAAGTAGGATGTATGCGCCATCTAAACACTGACGTGAGATCGATTTTTTCAGTGCCAAAGTTCGATGCTTTCATGTCCGCAGATGAAAACTCAAGGTCTTGGATTTAATTTTTGAGAAAATCAACTCGAATAAAAAAAGAGAATCGTTAAATATAGTCAGTGGACGGATCATTTCAACGTAAATGAACTCGAGTCAAGGTGTTCAACAGATTTTCTTCACCTTGAAAGGCGCGGTTGTTGCTTTTTTGATATCCTCGACTAGCAGATCGGATCTGATTTCGATCAAAGTCAGTCCCTCTTGTTTGTTGACGTCGAAAACTGCCTGCATTATTTCTGAATTGAAAAATGCATTTATCATCAGCGATGTGTCGAACCTACCATGTCCGTGATAATCCGTGATGCAACCCGTTTCCCAGTGAGCGGCAAGTCACATTGAGGCACGATTTTCGACTCACCATTCTTTGAGCAATGCTCCATAGAGACAATCACCCGGGTTCCAGGAGCAGAGACCAAATCCATGGCTCCGCCCATCCCCTTCACCAATTTACCCTGAAAGCAGGAAGACTTCTCGGTTTTCTTAGCAGGCGACAAAATTGCCATGATTAATATAAACCAAAAAGTGACAAAAAATTGCATTTTAAAGATGCTACTCTAGCCGGTCCCCTTTGAAGGAAAGGGCAAGCCGATTATGATTCCGAAGAAGAGGATTAGCTTCACGGCTGTACCAATTACAGCCAAGCTCGCTCTTTACTTCAATCGTCAAGTTTTTCGAATAAAAGTGAAAGACTGCCGTATTCGTGAATCGAAGCAGCTCGTCACTTCTACCGAGGCATCGTTTTGGAAATGCTGACGCAAAACGTACAGTATCTCTATTTGCGAAAGCTTGTGAGGGAGGGAAACGCGCTTCTTGAATTCTTGGTTCTAATGAAGATCTGGGTTTGCATTTCGATAGAACTTAGGTGGTTTGCCTTTATACGCATATAATCTAAAAATATCTTACTGAATGGATGCGCATGTTCTACTCGAACTAAACGAGTCGAGTGAAGACTCGTGTATGAGCTTACTCGTACTACACATATCATTGCTGCCGGGCCAGGGCTGCTCTCTTTTCGCCCTTATTCATTGACGTAAGGTGGAGGTGGTGAAGAGGCGAAAGGCGCACTCCGCACACGCGTGAACACGGGTCCGAATCCTCAATCAATATCTGCTTAGGCCAGCTTTCCATCCCTTCGAGGTCGGTTGACTGGTACAAGGCTCGTCTAGGAGGCTGAAAGCACTGACTTGTACATTAGCTGACTACCGCGAGTCATTGTATAGGCCACATGCGCAATCTTTACGCTTCTACGATTTCGAATGGAAGTCGAGCGCTGGGTCTGTACCTCTGACGGGATTGATTAACGTCTCGAGAATTCATCCTTATCTTTTATTCGTTGATGTGGTGAACACCATTTTACGAGACACTTAAAGCAACCTAGTATCTTCTGAGCGTGTGTTCGCCTATCCTACTTATATAATCGGCTAAGTGTGTCTGTTGGTGTGTTTGTGTGTGTGTGTGTTTGTGTGTGTGTTTGTTTGACCGGAAATTCATAACTCCTGTCCCACTGGACCTAGGGCATTCAAATTTGAAAGAGAGATAGGTGACAGGATGGGAACACCGATGGCAGGTGATAGGAAGTGACAACTAACGATAGAAACTGATAAGGAGCCTTAAAAAGCAAAGGCCTCAGGATCCGTAACTGCCTTCGGATTAGCGGTGAAGCCTTGGCACTTTGACAGGTGGTGTAGGATGTGAAGGGACCGCAAATGTTTGACGACAGGGATTGATTACAACTGATAGGGACTGATAAGAAATCATAGAAGGCGAGAGCTGTATCTCTAACGCACTTTCTTTTAATGATGGAATCTTGGAATTTTAACAGGTTACGTAAGATGTGACAGGATCGGAGGTACTCGGTGACGGAATCGAAAACGGTTGGTGCCAGACCAGGAGCTGATAAAACTGATAAGGGCTAATGAAAATCCTGGAAAGCGTAAAGCCACTATAATAATGGCATTAATAGTTGAGCCTTGACAGTTTGGCATGTAATGTGGAGTATGGCTGGATCGTAGACGACCGATGATAGGAACTGATAACAGCTGATAACGACTGACAAGGACACTTATCAACAGAATTTAACTTCTGTGGTATTTACGGTGTATTTATGATTACGACTATTATATAAATTACGACCGCTACCCAGCAAGGTTTGCAACTCGGTGGAGGATCAAGGTTACTTTATGTTTTGATATCATTTACGAAAAAGCTCATCCGACCGCCAATAATTTGGGATCCTTAACTAATGATGTACCCGTGGAGGAAAGAAGGTCCAGTGATAACATCATATAATGGTGTTATTATCACTTGAGAACATTAGTGAGTACTACCCAATTTTTCGGTTGCCTATCAGTTAAACCTTTAATGGTTCATAATTTTCAAGATGAAGAGCAACCGATTGACACTTTCAAGCGTGGGCATGTGATGCATGTATTGGCGTGCGTAGCCCAACTGGTGAAGGTAGAAGCGAATAAATGCTTCCACTGTGCAGTTGATAATTCTTTATACGGTACGATTCAGCGGTTAAGGGCAGCCCCACCACTGACGGGTTGCACAAAGCCCGTCCTCAATGATTCTCTCACAACCCTTGAGCGAGTGCTAGAGTATCAGTGAAACCGTCTTTGAAGTGATATGAACCACCCAGGAAAGCGGATCCCGTCATCAAAAAGTGTAAACACTGAAAACAGCGGACCGTATTCTGCTGGTCATTTTTGCGGACGAACGTGAGACAAAAACCATTTGTAGGAACTCATGGCTGGCATTTAGAAAAACACTAGGTGAGTGTAGGATGTGTCGGAGAAATTTAAATATGGCAGCCGGACTGAAACAAAGGGTGACGGGTGGAAAGAAAGGAATGCAGTTCGAGATCTCTGTAGCACCCTTGATAATCATAGAAAGCATTGCGGCAATGAATCTGATCCGGTAGTGGAAGAGCTAACTAAAACTCAAGAATATCAAAATCAAATGCATCGATGTTATAAGGTTTCTATTGCAGTAAGGCAAGAAATTTTCAAGAATAGCTGAATACAAGACAGTATTTCTTTTTTCTGTCTCACAGGTATCATCCAGTTTGCGATATCTCCAAATTGAGAAACTTGAAGTGCACCGAGAACCGTAACATCAATATGAGATCTGAAAAAGCTGATAAAAACTCTCAAAATTCTGAATCTTACTAACAAATCTCTACCCTCGAATCATGGCGAACGATTCTTCGCTTCCAAATATAGATGCACCCTTCAACAGCGTGATCGCCTCACTTGATGCATTGATGAGATCGGAATCTTCTTCGCCTTTCTGAGGATACGGACCCTATAATTCGTGGAGATAATGGGCAGTGGAAATAGTTGGAAGTTAGTTAGAATTCCCGATGTGAGTGTAGGTAAAAAGTCGACACATATACGGTCCACAATCAAGTTTAAGCTTTAGGGACAGACCATTGACGAATGGGTCTGGAAAACAACGCCTACCATTCCAATGACTCCATTTTCGCCATGAAGGTGGACATTCACGCCATCGGGTATATATTCAGCTGCCAGGGTTGGAATTCCTACTCCAAGATTCACTGGAATACTATGCAAAGATAAATGACCGCGAAGTTACTCGTGGAAAAATCGAGACTATCGTACTATACAAGAACTCTCTCAGAATGTTCAGTTATCGCCTTTTGATGCAAAATTATACAATTCGATACAAAATGATACGTTAAAGGAACATCGAACTTTCTATAATTTACTGTGCTGTGCCTGTGCTTTTCGGTCCCTTCCTGACACGATAGGCACGGGATTAGAACAATGCAGACTTTTTTCTGATAGATTTCTTATTTCTTCTCACACTGATTGAATGACGGCTCCTACTTGCTTATTGGTACGAGTCGAGTGAAATGGAAATGATTAAATCAATAAGTGAATAGAAACTAAAAGTTCTCGGAAAATGAGTTTGTTCACGAACCATACATTCCATCACAGAACTCAAGAGCAATGCGTGCAGCTATTATTTCTCGTGTTCTGCTAGCAGGAGATAGGGAGGTTTTGGCGTCCCCATCCTGAAATGAATATTCGGTCCCGTTAACTTGTCTACTGCATATTGGAGAGGGCTAGAATACGAAAAGACTCAGTTGAACCCACCGATCTCGAATGCATAGTACGCTTGCTGTAGTTCTTGCCGAGTACGATGCGGTCACAATAGATGGATGGGATGTGTACCTATACTGAGAAGTGGAACACACAATCAAGAATGAGAAACTATGCTAACATGATTTATGCTAACAAAATTCGAGAATGCATACGTCGTTTGGTTCGATGGCGCCTGTTTCAACTATTTCCTCCACTTCAACGATCGTGCATTTACTCGCTTTGCACATAGCGCTGTTGAAGTTACCCGCTGTCAACCTTTAACGAAATATATAATAGAATACTGCCTTTTTCTCCCCATGGCGGTACCCATCCTCAATGTTACTGAGTGCTTACAACACAATACACTACAGTACACCACAACACACTTATGGCGTAAAGCATCGTTCTTTTCAATTGGAATTGTAATTGGGAACCGCCTATACTTCAGAGTCATGCATGGCTTCAATAGGATCACTTGTAAACTTTCCCTTGTTTTCCACTATAACTCACCAAAAATATAATCGATACCACGAGTTAGTGAGTTGAAGCTCAGATTGAATGTTGTTGGGAAATGCTCGTAACCTTAACGAGGTATAACGAGCTGAAGGCAAGGAGATTGCTTTGTGAACAACAACAAAGGCACGGTTTGTGATAAGTTCACTATATCTAGTCTAGATGAACGATGAGATTGATAAATCAGATTGACCCGAAAGCTGCAAAGTAAATGCGAAACCACCCTTATTTAGAGAAATATAAGGCTTTGAAAAGTAGTTAAATCAGTGGTTGGATGAGGAGTTGACGATAGAGGTTGTATGGAAGGGGTATTTGGAAAATTCCTGGCTTCATACCTTTTCTGATACCCCACCCAGACCGCTCTTCCATTTGACAGCGTCCCTTGTGCTATTTTCGGTGTCACAAGTGCATCTCAGATGTAAATCAGAATCATTTTTATCGTGAACTGCGCCTTCAACTGATCAATTAGGCTAGAGTTTGTGGCAGAGAGAATAGGCCAAAGGACGCTTTCGGCGCATACGCGCATTTAACCGAATTTGGAGGCCATCATGCGTATCATTTAGCTGCTGTTGTTTTTCATGCATACTTTCACCCTCTTGTATGGATTACTATTCACCTGAACTGAATATTGCCAAGTCGGTCCGCACGCCAAGCCTTGATGAGAGCGAAGTCACCCCAAATCGCTTCCTCCATCACATAATTGTAGCCATTGAATTCACGAGTCTATTGATATTAGTAATTATTGGAAATAAGTAAGAATTACTAGCCTAGCTATTACTATACATGACAGCGTTATGTTGGGTCACATCCTGAATGGCGATTTTCACTTCATAATGTCTATGCAAATTGTAATCCTGCTACTAATTCATGGTCAACCGGCGGTTGGCGACGGATTAACCTAGCTTCTCTCAGAATGGGCCAGTGATTTGAAAGTAAGATCAGAGGAAAGCTCCACTCGGAGAAATCTAGACATCTGAAAAAAATCCGGTTTTGCCAACTTTTTTGCATTCATATCCAGGAAAAATGGTAAAATTCGAGTGCTACATTACCTAGGGCGTTACTTGAAGGGATAGCAGCATCGTAAACCTTTCACTTCAGCTGGAAACTTCGTTTTCAGCGTTCAGAGGATATGTACGACACTGTATTCGATGGGAGTATAAAATCTTGGTCATTTTGTTACCTTTTATGGCATAATTTCAATACTTTCAAGTAAAAGCGATTGTTTAAACCACCAAGTTTTCGGGCATTCGCTACTTCTTCCCAGCAATCTATTTGAATGTAAGACCAATGGATAGTCCTGCCCGCGGGGATACAGTCATATAAAAAATTTCGATTCCTTCATAATTGTAGCTTCATTTTCACGAAGTCCGAAGATGAGTTTTCAATACCTGAGTTGTTACCTGCGAATATAACATCATCGCAATTGAAAATATCGTTTCCAGTTTTTGGGCACACTCGGCATTAGATTAGAGGTTAGCGTGACATCCCGATCATTTTGATACTCTTTATGACATAATCTCAACACTTTCGTCTGGAGACAGTGATTTGAATTGGCAGTTTTCCAAGAATTTGCTAGTTCTTTTCGGAGGTGCATTTACGGGAAGCAACAAAGTATTGTAAGAAGTAAGTTAAAAATTTAGGGCTTAAGTAATGTGATACTAGGAATACATGCTAGAGTAGCCGCAGGTACTATGTCGTCAACACAGAATTTCATTTCAAAATCCATATTAATTTTCGATTGATATATATTTCACAATTGCTTCCAGTTTTGATCAGCTGTGACGAGGCCAGAAAACGACTACTGTCGAAGTATTTGCTTCTTTGTTATCATACATAATCAAATTGGCTAAATCAGTTTCTAACCAGACGTTGAGCTAATTGACAATGGGCTTTACTTTAAGAAACGACCCAATAGCGTAGAGGAGCGCACATTGCCCGCCAACGATGTTATTTTCCCGCCAACGATGTTATTTCAGCGTTTGTAAGCGCTGTGCAGACAGCGGATCCGAACCCCTCCGGGTCTCAGGTCGGGTGCAAACATGAGACGCAGTCACTCTGCGTCATTGGGGCGGGTGATGTTAAGAACACTTCTGCATTTCAATCGGTAGCGAATTGGTTTGATTGCTGTAAAAGCGGGGTCTAACTAATTTCAGACCTGTTAATTCATGTTTAAACTCGATTTGCTGCTTATGCTTTCTTTCTTGACAGTTCACCTCACCACGACAGCAAAAATCAATATGACTTTGAGGATTGAACTCATGTGCCTTCAGAGAGATCTGGGCATTCGAACCCAGCGAGCTTAACGGAGATCGATAGCGAGGGGTCATGGTCTCCACCACTATCAGACATTTGGGAAAAACGGACAAACTATTAGAATGACTGTTCATGCGATCGATCGAATTCATTTCAACGGTAGTCATTTTAACGACTCTATTCCAAAGTTGAGGCAATTTATTTTGATCAAGCAAATTCCAACAAGAAACGACCGTAGCATATTGGCCAAACCACGCAAGTGGTTCTATTTTGTTGAGTAATAGCAAAAACTGTTAGGTCATTCAATCGTTATTCGCCTGCACTCTTTAAAACCATAATAAAACCGATTCACACCAAAACTAGGAAATCCCAAAAGCTAGAAGACTAGAACAAGTTCAGCATCAACGGCACCACAGGTCAACCATTAGATTAATGCTTTTTTCAAGTATAGTCTGAGCATTTGCAGTTCAGTTTTGAGAGAAAGAAAACTTTCTACACCATCTAAACTGTCATTATTTGTAAATCATGGGATAAATTAAAGTATTTCTCCGAATTTTCTTGAATGGTGATATTTGGCTTTCACGCCTTGAACTGAAACTCTCAGTTGAACCAAAGGAAGTAATTCAGAAGAGGATTTTAGATCAGAGTATTGAAGACATGGTAGCCTACCCAATTTGATGTTTGAAAAGGAACATCTGCGCATAATCTCTTATGTGACACAGAGCTATAGCGAAGAGTGGATATTGATGGGTCAATCAGCTCAGCGTTCAACTAGAAGGCGATCCAGCCACCCAAAATCAAAATTACTGATTGAAATAGCACAAAAGCATAAATTACAATTTTTCAACCATAACCCTTTCCAGTCCATATCGTAGCCGGAGAGCACTGAATGCAATCGTAAAATGTGCACTAGTTGAAACTTACTGAAAAATCTACAATAAAAATCTTGTTGACCACATAACTACGACATAGTTTTGCATGCATTTCTTACATCATATGACTCTAGCCTCTGAATGAGTACAAAACTACTCGGTTTCGATGAAGTGGACGGCTAGAAAAAATCAGCAATTTACTTCTGGGAAATCGATAAATTGAAGTAGCTGAAAATTCAAAAGCTCATGAAATTCATTATATATCTGAAATTCTCATAATTGAAACTGATTATTCGTCTAACACGCAAAATACGTATACGGCTGAAAGAGGTCGGGAATTTTCAAAACTTTTGTAATTTGATCCACCGTTGTCAGCTTAATTTTTTTGAATTTTGTCAGATAGATATAGTGATATCAAAGTAATCATCATTTTATGCTTCTCTCGAATATAGTGTCGTACATATCCTACTATATATAAACCGCAAACGTCCGTTTGTCTGTATGTCTGTCTGTTTGTCCTTCCGAAAGTCACGTAGGCACGATGTAGATGTAAATATCACGTGAGCGCGTTGAGGAAACAGTTATGAAATGGGAAGTCAACCGACACTATTGTTGGTACTCTAACAAATCGTAGGTAAGCGATAGTGAGTATAAGGTGCACGCGTTAGCATGCGTGCGTGAGCAACTGGTCTTTAAAAAACTGAAAACGAAGTTTCCAAATGAGGTGTAAGGTTTACGATGCTGTTATTTCCACAAGTAACACCCCAGGTTCTGTGAGACTCATTTTCCATTGTTCGTGGAAGTGAAGGCCATCAATTCAAGAAAATCGAAATTTAATATATGTCTGGGTTCTTTACGAGCAGATCTTTCACCTGGCTTTACTTTCAACTTGATTGGAAAACGTTAGCAAAAGTTATGGTGAAGCGACCGTTTGCGAAGGATTAATGAGTCGCAAGCCGTTCGACCAAGAATTGGTAACAGTATTGTTCTTTTATGCTCACTACGTTCTTAGCAGACTTACCTCTTTCGCAGGACTTGCGACTTCAATTTTTCCTTTCTCTGTTTGACTGTACCTCATTGGGGTACCTCCTTCTTGTATAAGTGTACCGTATCCAGCTGGTGTGTAAAAGGCAGGAATACCAGCTCCGGCCGCCCGAATTCTCTCAGCTAGTGTTCCCTACAACTTTTTCTGAAAGACTTTCAGCTTTGCGTCACTGCTGGAACATTCATGCTGGAGTGGGCTTCTAGCCCACAAAATTGGTAGGATAGAGGCATCTTCCTCTGCGTGACTGGATAAAATTTATACGATTTGGTTCTAGAGATCGCTCGAAGAAACTCTCCAACCCCACTTTCTATCATCATATTCGCATTGTTCTCGGCGAAACTAACTAACCAATGCTTCCTCTTTCATTGCGAAAGATAAATAAACGGCTGCTCGACTTAAGTGGAGCATGTNGAGTTGTAGTCAAAGGGCAAATGGTCATGACAATGATCATGAGCTATTTCAAACTTGAGCTTTCTTAGCATTTCATTAGTGTAGGCAGCAGAATGTGGGAGAACATTGCCGTGCACAATTTGCTACCAGCGCTCATATACATAAAATTACCTTCGATACGTGAGGCATAATAGCAATTACAATAATGGAAGAAAGCATCCTTGCACACCTAACAATTCCGCCAACAGAAACACAAGTACATCTTCACTAAGGATAGTTTTTGCTCCAACGAGTTTCGATTAGGTGAATTAGCAGTTCGGGAGGCATCGCTACAGTACTCCATGATTTGATTTTGAGTTTCCTCTTAGTGGATTCCAGTGTTTGACAGGATCTAATCCTGGAATAAGCGATGGAACTAGGCGCATAAGAGTACTGATTAGGTAGTACCCACTAGTGATTAAGAATACTTCGGTGATTTCGCATTTAAGCTGATGCTGAAAGTGGCTTTTTGGAAATATGATATTTTGAGAGAGCGAAAGTGAGGTGAGGACCGTATGCCTCATCATGAGAAAAATAAGATGAAGCAGAAGAGAGTACACTATTAACTAACCTGTGGACTGAATTCCAATTCAAGTTCGCCAGATAGGTACTGCCTAGCAAATTCTTGATTTTCTCCAACGTAAGAGGCGATCACTTTTTTGATCTATAAACTTTATATAATGAACCAAAAAAGTAGCCAAATAAAGCGGAGCACTGACTTTTTCATAGTGCTCAGGCAACATAAGAAGATTATTCTTAATACCAGCAATACTACTAGATTCGCATCACTTTTATACATAATCATCGCGGGGCGAATTCATGAAGAAACCTTGATACATACACAATACATTTTTGGCAATGTTTCTTTGATACAGTGATTTGTCCAGCCGAACATTCTTTCAGTAGATTAGCCTTTACTAATGTCGATTGGGTCTTTGATCTCTCTCCTAATCTTTTGATAGCTGATCGTTCCCACAACTCCCAATCGAGAGACATTGGCTACACCTGATTGAGCTGATCCTAATTATTTTACTGCTCTTCATGTAGACGTTACTTCAGATTTTCGAACAAAATCAGCTAGAGGGGGTGCATGGCCCGTAGAGGGCGGAGCTTGACCGAGTAATTCCAGCCCGTTCTTCTGAAATTTTCTTTGTAACCTCTTTATCGCATGAATATTTTTATGAGGTATGGCCTGGCTTTATGCGTTACAAATTCAGTCAGCTTCTGATTTGGTCAGCCTTTACTATTAACGTCACAGCAATTGGACTCTCACAGGATATAAGTGAAGGATTTCGCCACGATTCAGCTCCAAACATATAACAGACTACTTCTCTCAGAAATGTGTTGATGCTCAAAGCTACTTTGATGGCTACTTTCCTTTTTGACTACAGTGAATCCTTGAGCATTGTTGTCGTGAAACTCATTTTGTTCTGCATAACTTGCATCAGTGGTGTTAAAAATCCTTCTGCGCTTCCGAAGTCACAATAAATCAACAATATTGATGAAAAAAATATACTCGATTCACATTTTTTCGTTTGGAACCCTATTCGCTAATGCGAGAAGCAAAAAGAGAAGAAGACTGGTGACTACAGAAGCTACATAAATAAATAAACCTGTCGCTTCTCGAGAAGAAGCCCCAGTCCCCAGTTGTCAAGGCCGACATTATTCGAAACACATGTGAGATTTTTCTGCCCAGTCTCTCGTAACGCAGCGATGAGGTTTTCAGGTACACCACATGTTCCAAAGCCTAAGAAAATTGTTTTTTAAAGCATTACTAATTTTCTACAAACACTAATTGCTTAATGAAACCTGAATATATCTCCTTACCAAATGACTTTTAGTTCCTCTCTTATGGTTCCCCATTCTAAAAAAAATAACAATTTTTAAACCTCACGTTTTCATTGCGCAATTACGAATGATGCTGATCAAACGAATGACACTCAGATAAGCAACTGTAATTTTCAAGGCTCATTTTTCTTTTGTGCTTAACAAAAACGTATGTTCAGTGTGCTTTCAAATCCGCCAACCTTATCCTGTATTCCACTCAATAACCCTCGATAACGTGGAATTGTAAAAGCAGAATGGTATAGCATGAGAATGAGAAGGGTTTATGGAATATAAATTCATTCTTCCACTGAACCGGTCTATAGAAACCCAACTGTCGCTGTTCGTCTGAGCTTTGACCAACACTAGAACCATACTTCCACCCATAACCTGTGGTTCTATTAAATGTCATCCTCAATGTCTCCACGTCATGAGCAGGCTTTTATTCATTTTTTTCTCACCACGCAAAAAAGGATTCATAAATTAAACCCGGGATCATTCTTTGACATCTCCGATGAATAGCTTCTCTCTGAACCATCTTGAACCGAGCCGCACCCTTTTCAGACGGGCAATACCTACCTCGAAGAATAGATTTTTCTACGGTTTCTTATTGGTATTTTTTTACTGGTACCCTAGGATGGTGAGCGGGCCAGCTGGGGGGCATTGCTTGATCGAAAAAATGCCTAGTTTAGGCAGGATGATGATAAAAACGGCTTTGTTGCCCATACAAATCGATGCATAAATGGAGGACGGATTTGACGATCTTGTATGGCCTGACATCATATACAATGGNTTACAAACACCCCTTTCGTCGTCATGACATCATTTCAAGTGAATAGTCCAAAAAGAGACTTAAAAAACCAAAACTTCTGAGGGTTTACTCGTTTCCTTCGCCCCCGACAGAGGACTTTGCCAAACGGCGTGGGCTGGTAACGACCTGGGAATTGAATCCGTGATCACACGTGCGAGATAAGTTATAAGTTGTAGGTTTATTACACCTGCGGAAGGCAGTCGTGAGAAAGAAAACAAATACAATGTAAATATTGTACATTTGGACAATTAACCAGTGCGCAATACAAAGATAAATAAGTTAGATAATCAGTCTCAGAAAACATTAGGACCAGTTCCCTTCAGCAGCAACTTAACTACTTGGCGTATGAACTGGGCTAGCGATGAAGAGGGGTATATTTTTCACCACTCTTAGATAATCAGTGCCCGCCCTGAAGGTAAAGGTACACGCTTGCAAGTTAGTTCTAAGACGCGCCGAGGAAATCTTCATGGAGCAACCCCTAGTCCTCGAATGTGTCTGCTTGAGGACACTGGAACCGTGACCACAAGTGCCGTGTACAAGATTATGAACCGTACAAAGATCGAAAACTCTGCGTCGCGTTTCTGAAGATGTCAGTCTAAAATACTGATTCCTGATAGCTGCCTTTGGTATTCTGGAATACAAAAAACCACCAATTCAATGAGCAGTTTACGAGTAAAGTAATTCTGAATCTTTTTAAGCGCGTAGATATGCTTCCTCTTCTCGCTGCTGGAAACCATAGTGGATTCGACAGCAGGTCGCATATACGACTTGTAAGCACGCAACAGGGCTTCTTTACTGGCTGAAGCAGCCCTCGAAAATTTGGAATGTCTGAAGATTAGCTACTCTGATTACTCACAGTGCGTCACTTGCCACTACTTCACCTCCACCCTCTTTAGTGAAGTGGTGAGCATCCGTATTTGCCACATGTCGAGTGACAGATGTCGTAAAACAAATTGCCGCATATCGTAAAGCAAATTGTAGAATAAAGCACTCACCTCCAACAAGCAATTTTGCGTTGTTTTGGATATCTCGAACAGCTTCCTTCGCGTCTATGTAGATTTTCGCTTTTGAACATGCCGATGTTGAAAGGCGGTGAACGAAGGCCAGAAACGATCTCTGCTAGAGTCTTTTCCAGAAATTTTTTCTTTTATGCAAAAATTAAGCATCGTCATAAGACTTACCCTACAGAAACGTCTGAGTGGAAGATTGCCTATCTGTGCCATGACCACCCTTCTCCTGAATATGATCCTTCGGCCTATGTCGTTAAAACAAAAGACTTACCGGCGTAAATGTGATGGAGGAAATTAACGAAATAAAGTTGCCTAATAACTGACATGCAAAGTGCAAGAGCAGAGATTTGGTATGCGAGATGATAGGGGAAGTTTTGTTGAATCCAACTAGGCCTACCAGAACTCCGACGCCCAATCGTGAACGGGAGTTGACTAAGATTCTGTAATCGAAAGGTATAAAGGCGGTCCAAGGGTTACAATAACTTCGCTGATAACGGAGCAAAGAATACACAAAACACAACGTAAGTGCGGGCAACAAAAACATGGAATAATAGTAATGATTTAATACAACCCAACCTACGTCTTTTCCTTGACGTTGTTAGTGAAAGAAGTGAGGATCACGCCTTCCGGCGGTCCCTTGACTCCGCACCCTTCAGGGGTGTGGGTTGAGTTGAAGAGTGGTCTCAGACGACAGCAAGATATTGATTGGGATCGTCGTCCCAGACGATGATATTCCGCTAGCGAGTTTGCAGTAAATGGGGACTCAAAAGAACATGAATGCATGACAACATGATAAAAAAATATCTATATGACAGCTCGAAGGTCACTTTTCTTGATGATTTAATGTAGTCGCGTCGTAGTTGCAGTGAGGATTTACGGGCTTTTGGCAGTTGAGGCGAGGAAAACATCATAGTGAAGTGAAGAGATTAGTTCTGCAGTTTGGAGGAGAATAACACGAGTTTGGAGTAGATGAATGCAT